TCGAAATCACGTGATTCCATCCCCGCCCACATACCAACACCATCAACACCATCACAGGACCTAACCAGATCAGCCACAACATCACCGGCTCATTCACCTGCACGTCCACCAATGTTATATATGCCATCATGTGCCAGCAATGCCCCTCTGCTATGTACATTGGCCAAACTGGACAATCACTACGCAAGAGGATAAATGGACACAAGTCAGATACCAGGAATGGCAATATACAAAAACCTGTAGGAGAACACTTCAATCTCCCTGGCCACACAATAGCAGATGTAAAGGTAGCCATCTTACAGCAAAAAAACTTCAGGACCAGACTCCAAAGAGAAACTGCTGGGCTCCAGTTCATTTGCAAATTTGACACCATCAGGTCAGGATTAAACAAAGACTGTGAATGGCTATCCAACTACAGAAACAGTTTCTCCTCCCTTGGTGTTCACACCTCAACTGCTAGCAGAGCACCTCACCCTCCCTGATTGAACTAACCTCGTTATCTCCATACTGATTTATACCTGCCTCTGGAAATTTCCATTACTTGCATCTGATGAAATGGGCATTCACCCACGAAAGCTTATGCTCCAATACTTCTGTTAGTCTTAAAGGTGCCACAGGACCCTCTGTTGCTTTTTACAGATTCAGACTAACACGACTACCCCTCTGATACCAGAGCTCTGTGCTCACTCTACAGCTCCCTATTTGATTCCAAATTCAATGCAAGGTTCTGATCGTTTACAAGCAATCTTTCCCATGCCAGCTATGCTGTACCAGGTTGCTATGGATGACAAACACAGAAGTTCTGCGGTCAGGGACAGGCCATTTTCAGCAGAGGGTCTGCGACTGTGGAACTCATTCAGATAAACCTGACATCCTTTTAGGCATTGCACTTTTCCCACAATCACCTCTCTCTGTGATGCAGCAGAGAAGAATGGGCAGGTGACCTCTCACGGAAATAACCGCCACTAACAGACTCAACAGCAGCCACCAGACCACAGAAGAGCAAAGCTTGCATCTTTGTAGACAATTTAGGCCACATATCACGGTGATGGGCATATTAGAAACACACACAAAGAGGTGCTGCAGGTCAAGCTTCAGGTGCATTGAATAGAGCTGTGCAAGCTCTCGACACACAGCAATTGCTTGCATTATGTCTGGCTCTAGAGTAACTAGTTCCTCAACTCTCTCTGGGTGTAATTCTCTCCGGTACTTCTATAGAGCCCATTACTGTATTATCTGAGTACATCACACCACCACAAAGTACAGAAGCACTATTACTGTCACTTTAAAATGGAGAATCTGAGGCACGGAGTGGCTACGTGGTTTGCCCAAGGTCACACAAATGTCTGTGGTGGAGCAGGGAATTGAACCCACGTCTTGAGTCCCAAGCTATTTCCCAACCACTGGATCATCCCTTGCACTGAGTTCTCTCCAGTACTACTGATGTGAGAAGAAATAAACTCAAAGTAAGAAACTGACTTTGAGGAACAAATGAGCCATTTAATACACCTACTTCCCATTGTCGGTGTATCTAACAAGGAGCAGAACAGGTAAAGCAGTGGATAAATATTTCAGTAACACAGTTGATAGAGAGAATAGTTCTAAAAACCTCCTGTATTGTTGAAATATCTTTGAAAGATACTGTTTAAGTGAAATATTCAAAAAATTCTAAAGAGGACTTGATTCCCTGTCCAGAGTCTTTAAGAGGTAGGTCAGAGTTGAGAGATTTTAGTGGCTCAGGAAAGTCTGACTTCTCTCTGTCCTGAGGTAATCTTGGATCAGCTAAAAAGATTTTAACTTCAGGCTCAAAACAATATTTCCGAAATAAAAGAAAACTTAGTTCCCCAAGTTAAATGCGAAGTCTGCGATGCTCAGAACTACAGGGCAGGTTATGTTTATGAAGTAATGCTGCCATCTAGTGGAAAGGAAGTTAACAAGCACATGTATTATTTTAATTCTTGATATAACATAGGAGAGCAGAGGCGAGGCCTGATGATTAAAATGGGAAGTGTGGTTTCTTTATTATTCCTCTGCAGGAACACCAGTGTTGCCTCATCCATGACTGTGAAAGCAACCATTGCCATCCAGTGGCTAGTTATATTAATGATTGGTGTCAATTATCGTATAGATGTCAGTTTTGTGTTGGCCGTTTAATTCATCTGAACAACTTGCTTCACTACTTTTGATGGAGATGTACCCTGGGAATGATGTGGGAAAGGGAAACTTGGTCAGGTGAGAGAATATCCTCCTGTGCTTTTTATTAAACCTGCCAATATCTTGGTAACGAAACATACTAGACAAAAACACAGGAGTCCATGAGAAGGGGAAAATAGGAACCATTCTGAAGTCATGAGAATAAGTTTCTTTTTCTTTTCCTGA